TACAGTTTCTGGCGGTCAATAGAATCGTAAGCCTTTTTAAAATCTATATACAGCTGGTGAAAAATACCGTTATACTCCAATTTGTTCTCTAATATTTGCCGTAAAGAAAATATTTGATCAATAGTCGAACGATTCCGTCTAAATCAGCATTGGTAGTCTCCGATAATTTCCTCGGCGTATTCCGTGATTCGACTGGTTAAGATTAAAGTGAATATTTTATAACATACCGAAAGGAGTGAAATTCCTCGATAGTTATTACAATCCGTCCTTGGACCCTTTTTGTGAATCGGAATAAGAATAGATTCTTACCATTCTTCAGGTAATTTCTCATTCACCCAGATCTTTTTAACCAACCGATGTATTTTAGAAACTCCAGCCTCCCCGCATGCCTTAATTAGTTCAGAAGGAATATTATCGATTCCGGCTGCTTTATATGATTTTAATTTTCCGATAGCTACTTCAACTTCCTCTTTACTTGGTCCTTCTATTAATGGTTCAGCACTCTGGTACTCAGAAGGACACAGATCATAATTTCCCGTATTTAAAATATTGTCAAAGTGGTCCTTAAACTTATTCAATATGTCAACCGGATCGGTCAGAATATTGTTATTATCATCCCTAATTCCAGACGTTACGGGCCCTACATATTTACGTGATCTGTTTACACCTTTGTACATCTCTTACGTTATTTTCGATTCTATTAGTTTCTATTTCAATTATTTTATTTTTAAGATACTCCCTTTTTTTATTTTTGAGCAATTTTGTCGTTTCGTTCTTTGAGATTCGGAAGTATTCCAGATTGTCTTCGCTAGGATTATTTAGAGCTTTTAATTTAGCGGCTTTTTTTTTTCGCACATGTTTAAGCAATCTTCATCAAACCACGGTTTGTTATTCTTATTATCCCTTTTTCCTAGACACGAGTTACCGACCGCTTTAATATTATCCCTGATCTCTACCCATAACTTGTCAATATCCTCGTGGTCTCGTCAGGAAGCTCTAAAGCTTCAAACCTATTCTTAACATCTAGCTCGAATTGGTTTCTAATTGATGGATTTTTTAATTTTTCCAAATTAAAATTCTCAAAATTGAAACGGTTTTCTTTTCTCTTTTTTTATATTAAGTTTTTGTCGAAATTTCGCGATTACTAATTCATGATCCGACCCACATTCTGCTCCGCGATAAGACCGTACATTGATTATACTGCTTTGCCAGCTGTGTTGTATCAAGACATGAGTTATAACAAGTTATTTAAATAAGTATTTATTTAGACCTTCAAATAAATACTTTTATTAAAATGCTTAACTTCACTAGATAAAACTTCGTAAATAAAATTATATGAACAAAGTTGATTGTATTTCTTATTTAACAAATACTTTTGTTTACTTGAAAATGCTAAGTAATAATGATATTATTTCGTGTACCTACTATCAAATCAACGTTATTATTAATGAGAAAATATTTATTTCATTTAAAATCTCTTCTATATTTCGGTCCAAGTTGTGATATTCGAGGACAGTCTCTCGCATATCAATTTGTACTTCGTTAATTTCAACTTTGCAGATTTCTTCGATTTAAGGGTCTGTTATTACGTTAATGGAGGTGTAGTTTTTGAAAACTCTATCGATTTTATGATTACTCCTTCCCTTATCTACTGTGTTACTTGTTGAGCATAAATTATTTTGTGATTTATTATTAATTATTTTATATATCTCATCCATTTTATTTCCTACATCCTATAAATTAGAATTTGTTATATTTTCACGTTTGAAGTGTTATTAGTAATTGTTGCATTAGTACTTCTTTCTTTTTATTTCCATGGTGTTACAAAATAGATGTTGAAAATATATTCAATTTCAATTTTTAATAATTTAATAGTTTCATTTAATTTTACATTAATAATATAAGATTCTCTTAATCATACACAGTCATATAAGAGAACAAATCCTGTACATTAAAATAATAAATAATTACATAATCGGCATCTATTTTAATAATTTGTCACAGGTTAACCTAGTGATAAAAAATGTAATTGTTGTGTTTATTAATGCTTTTAGTAAAAATAATACAAAATATAAAGATAACTTGAAATAAAAAACAGTGTAAATAATTTTATTTTGCAGTTAATTTTAACTTTAACATGATCAAATAATACCTACATCGTTTTTCGAAAATTTTTTATTCAAGTAACAAATAACAAATACAATTTTATCCGCTATTGCAGACTTTTAAATGCATTTTTCCCTGTTATTATAGAGCCATTTGAATAATCAGTTATTTTTCTATCCGTATTTGTTATTGTATCGATGACGAATTATAATAAACTCCATAAGATAAGAAGTATAATTTATTCGATTCTATCAGTTCCTCCGGAAATTTCACTCCTTCGTACCCACATCATCATACAAATTTTTGTATTTTTCATCATGCATTTCATCAACAGGTGAATCAAGTAAAGAATTCCATCCATTTTTTTAACTATTTGGAGATAAGCTAAAAAGAAAACCGAGGTTGAATTATTTCTCTACTTTTCATTTCAGAATATTTGAGGAACGTAACACGAGCTAGCAAGGTAGGAACAGAGGACGTGGGAAACTGTGTTGTGAACACAGCAGATCAGAGGAACAACAAAACTGCTATGACGGCCCTGCCCGCTCTGCTACGGCTCTGAACTGGGTCCTCTGTTGCCCCGTTGAGGTGAAGTAGCTTAGCGCCCGTAACAGTAGCTTAGCGCCCAAATATATCGGGACGAGGCACATAACAGCTAGATTCATTTTAGGAAGACGTCTCTGAACTAGGTGCTATGTCCCTCCTTCATTACAAAACTGCTATCACTGTGCTGAGCCTGCCCTGAGCTCAATTTGCGTCGGGCCTCTTTCTTGGATCTCTGCCATGGAGCCCTTCCGAATTCAGGGAATATCTAATTGTTCTGCTAGTAATCTGAACTCCAGAGGTTGATTGGACCATGGTAGCCAGGTCCCGAAAACTTATCAGAGGATTTTTAAGAGCTTCTTTTCTGATTTTCCTCTTCAGCCTGGGAGTTATCATTTTTGGACGCCCTTTATGCTCACTGTTTTCAGTTGATCAACGTTCTTCATACCTTTTTATGATGTATTTCACTGTAGAAAAATTCAACCCTAAAGGTGGGCTTACACGCTCGGTTTTTATCATCGGTTCAAACCGTCGGGTGAACGGATGAAAAATGGTAGGGGAAACCGTCGGTTTTAACTGAAAAAAAGTTCTACTCTTTTCGTCGGTTTAAACCGTCGGGTAAACGGATGAAAAATGGTGAGGAAACTAGTCGGTTCAGATAACTGACGAGAAGAAACGCAGTATCATGGATCCTTTGATTGCGATAGCTACGGTGCTCGCGGTTAAAAAATCTAGAAAAAGAACCAAGTGGACCAAAGATTGGTTGCTAAAAAGAGAAACGCTTTCTCACACCAATCTTCTCAATGAGTTTAAATTAGAGACGGCCGATTGGCACAATTATTTGAGGATAGATGAAGAAACATATTTCGAACTTCATAATTTAGTGGCCCCCTTAATTAAAAGGGAGGATATTGTTATGAGAGCCTCCATTTCCACACATGAGCGGCTGATAGCCACCCTCCATTATCTGGCTACAGGGCGAAACTGCGAGGACTTAAAGTTTTCAACAATTATAGCAGCCCCAACCCTCGGACAAATAATCCCGGAAACCTGCAGTGAAAGGGAAGTGAGAGATGGATCTCTCGAAATAATTATCTCCCAGAAACGTTCGGTTTCCTGAGAATGCACATAAGTTATTAGTATTATCCGCAGCTGTGCAAACTCGATAGGCCAATTTCCATTCGTAATAAACAACGTACTCAAAATCGACATTAATAGTGCTTGTTTTAGTTTTTTAAATCGAAATTGAAAGAAAAATGTGACTTAGCAAAGCAAAAAACCGTCGGGTTGGAACGATGTGTACTTAGACGGTCCGTTTGGCCTGTCATCGTTCCATCCAAACCGACGGTTTTCACCTTCAGACGATCGGGTTTTCCATCGGTTTGGCCCGACGGTTCAAAACGGACGGAAAAACCGATCGTGTAAGCCCGGCTTAAGAAATCGCAATTTGGCTCTATGTTTTTTGCTGACTCCTCAGTAAAACAATTGTTTCGCGAGTTGCGGCACACAGTTCACTTGTCTTTGGCGTGATAATTTTCTATTGACTAAAGGAAACTGATTGAAAGACTAGAGAATACTGGTAATAAACGATTACAGATAAATTAGTAAACAAACCTATGACCTATGGAAACAGGAGGATTAATGCCAAAGTAAACAGAGCTTGTGAGTCATAGTGTGCAAATACTTTTTTCCAAGCACTTTTATTGTTTTAATTTTTTTGTTTCATTATGGACTGTTGTAATTTTTTTTTCCAAAAGGTTTATCTCAGTTTTTAACAAATGTACTTTTCATTTTTGCAGAGGAAAGCGAAGTTTTTTGTTCCTTGAATTCATAAAAACATGATGTGCAAATAACTTTTTCCACTGCATGGTTATTATAAGTATATATAATAACCGCGTGGTTATTATATATATATATATATATATATATATATATATATATATATATATATATATATATAGATATAGGTATATACAATAGCTGAAAATAATATATATATATATATATATATATATATATATACATTAGCAGATAAAAAAAATATCGTAAATTAAATAACCATTGCAGAACAGCTGATTCCGTTCGATAGCTGAACAAGTTCCCTCTAAGCGACGCCATTATTAGTCTAGTGTAGCGTTACTGTTTGCAATGGCAGATAATCGTAAGTAGTTAAAGTTATTTGGGTGGTTAAATAGATATCTTTAACTGCTATTACTTGTTTTATTTTCTAATTAACAATTTTACATGATTATGTAATTGTTTAGTTTAAATCTGTTATTCTTAATCTTATTCTACCGGTTCTCTAATGAAGCGTGCACTTGTTAACTTCAGCTTTTGGTTGTAATGTTTAGAGTACGGAAATTATGGCGGCTATGGAAACTATAGTTATTCTCAAGGAGGTTCATCTGTAGCAACCAATTATCCACCTCCTCCAACTTATGATCAAACAACATACAGTCAGCCTCCCCAAACCAGTGGCAGCAACCAAGCTATTCTGAACAAAACCCACCACCACCCTATCAACTATTCTGAACAAAACCCACCGGTAATATATCTAATTTTTCTTTATTGCAATTATACATACTCTTTCTTGTAAGTGTTGAAAAAAAAAAAAACCATTGACGATTACAAAAGAAGGAATATGGATTGATCTTTTTTTGGTTAAATTTTAATTTATTCTCATATATCTTATATAGTGTTTTAATTCTTAGATGCCTTACAAATTGTAATGGTGTGTAACCTTAGTTACTATTTAGATTAATTGGGAGGCATTTGTTACTTTCACAACTAAGTATGTCTCTTTCTCATGTTCAGTTAACAATATATTATCCTGGAATTATTAGTATTGTAAATAGTTTAATTATGAGCTATAATTATTATTGACATGATAACAATTTAAGGTAATGCTATGGCAGTGTCACTTCTGGATAACAGGTCTGCCAAAATAATTTCTATCACATTGTTGGCAATAGCACATAATCGAATGTGTCTGATTGTATTCTGAAACAACCGATCCCGAACTTAACCATTATTAGTTAATTGCATGACATCCTTAACAATTTGGTTTTATAACATGTTGAATATCGAAAATAACATGATTTTCTGTTTCCCAACTGGTGGAAATGATGAATTCTCATACTATTCCAAATCATTAGTTTATGTTTAGGTTTTATGATGCTAATTTCTAGAGTAAAAAAATAATTTTTGTTTTTCCAACCAATGAGATTTGTGACTACCTGAACTTTTTACTTTTATAAGTATTAATTAGGAAGGTAAAGTATTGCAATCGTGAGTGATTGCAATTTCGAATCTGCATTTTCAACAAAAATACATGTTCTAAGGCCTCCTGAATATGTTTATTATGAATGAAGTGAAATTTAATTTAATTATCCTGGGACTGATGATCCTGTCAAACAAATTATAAATATAAAATAAATAAAACATGACAGTATGGTCATAAAATAAATTAAATATTTACATAATAATAGGTAATTAAAAATAAAGTATGAGAAAGCGAAAAAACTGAACATATATAATAATAATAATAAAAAGGGTTAGCAAACGCAAAGGTTCGATGCCGACACCACCAATCGCTTATTACATACCTCCCTCCACCGTTCGCCGTCCAAACCCAGTCCCTTCAGATCGGCTTTAATGCAATCTTCCCACCTTCGCTTCTGTCTACCCCTCGGACGCTTACCATTCGGTACAGCAAATATTAACCTTTTAGGAATTCTCTCGTTACTAAGTCCAACAACTAAACATATATATAAAATAAAACAAACAGAGATAATAATAGTTATACAAATAAGCGCAGGTAATAAATCATGAAGTGCATAATGCTAAAGTGGAAAAGTAGATTCATAAAGTAAACAAACAATGGAACACAACTTGGGAGATTTTCTATGACAAAACTGATGAATCGGCCGATTCTTGTTGAACACGTTGATTCACTGGGTTAGTTCTAGGTAATCTTCCAGCCTTATTGCTTTATTCGCTGAGTTATTTTGCATACTTTCGGAATCTACTCTTCTAGAAGCATTTCATACTTCATTGATTTATAACCTATGCTCATTTACATTTATAGTTTGTTTATGTTTTCTGTTTGTTTTTATTTATATATGTGTCCTTCCACAGATCTTTGTCTTCAAGGCAGAAGTCTCCTTCCGTAAATTTTTTTATCACCGTTAACAGTTCACTCATTAATGCTGCTCTCGTCCCAGACTTAGTTGATGTTTCTAGCTGTCTGGGCCCCATTCTGGCCGAGTTTAAACTCATACATCAAAATTATATGAAAGTCACGTGGTGGCAACTTAACAAAGACAGAATTATTTCTAAGCAACGAAATGCTACTGAGGTAAACAAACATCGTTTGGAAGTGGATTAATAAAGGCTCGTACAGACAGAATGCGATCCGACGTTACGTTACAATAACACGTGATACTTGTGGCGATACCTAATCCGGGGCAGACACAAAGAGCCCCTTTACGCATAAGAGTACTTTGAAAGCGATACAGTAGCCCCGTCGCTCTGCCTGGCCTAGTCAACTAGAGTACCTGCTTCCCGCAAGTTGTATATTACTAATTTGTTTTCGATGTTTTTCTTATTCGTTTTTTTTTAATAGAAAATGAGCAGTTCTGACGTGAAGGCACTTCTAATTATTTTACTTCAACATAAAAGTAAAATAAAAGAAAATGGATTCATGATATCAAAAAGCAGTGAGACTGATTGGTAGAATACCATCGCCTCGGGCGTCTGCTTCAATCTTACAAAGATAAATATTATCAATATTTCCGAATGTTTAGGGACAGCTCTGAGCACCTATATCACATACTCCAATGCAGTACTGAAAAGAGATATTAATTAAAACACTGATAGTGATATTTAGTTAGCTTTTAAAATGGATTTAAATTCAACTTCGGAAAGTTAACTAATATATATATATATATATATATATATATTTATATTCTTTTACTTATTATAGACTCGGTACTCATCAATTAGAAAAGTTAATTTTGTTTTGTTTTCCCTTTTATTTTTTTTTTTTTTTTATTTGTTTCCTATCTATTGTTAATTTACTGAAGTGTATTTTTTTATTATTGGAGATTAATTATTCAGTTATTAGATTTTATTTTTGCTTTCTTTACATTTATGTTCTTTCTTGAACATAGATTATTTTATTATGAAATTATGATTGAATGTTTTGTATATCGCAAGATTATTTCATGTTTTCTGTGTTTTTTTAAAAATCTAATTTCATTAAATGTATCTAATTTCAATAAATGTATCTAATTTAATGACTTATTTATTGTATATATATTATTTTTCTGTATAATTTATTTTATTTATTGCATATAGAGTGTGAATGTGATCTCTGAACACTATTATAAATGTCCTATGAACCAGATTGTAAGATTTTTCAATAAATAAGTTAAATAAAATAAAAAATTTAATGAAATTAAATACCAAGCATTTTGGCCAGAATTAAGCTCTTTCTTTTGTACTATTTTGTTATTCTAAAGGGACTTCGTTCCAGAATAAAGTTATTTTTTTTTGTTCTATTCCATTTTATTATATATATAAGAAAAAATTTTTTTTGCTACATACAAAGAAGAAATCTTTTTAAACATAAAATATATGGAACTTTTTAAAAATATTTTCCAATATAGGTATTTATTATAATAAGGATTCAAGAGTTTTTAACAATCATGATTTTATTCATATGCTTTAAATAATCAGAAACTCTAATTGTAAATATTTGTTGATTTCTATTATCTTGGTTGTTAAATAATAAATATTACCTATTATAATATAAATATTCTCTTTACTTAAATATTGCCAGTAACTTTTAGTAAAAACAGTTATTATCTAAAAATCATATATGTCATGAAAGAACAATTTTTTTTTAAACATTAATATTAAAAAAGAAGATAAACACGAAACTGGTTAACTTTGTGGAAAACAAATATCTAAAATTTAACTTAATTTATATCTCTACATAGTTTTACCATTTTTAGAAAGGTAAAATTTCACATCATAAACTAGGGAATATTTCATTTTCTGAGTAATATTCGTTTCTTCTGCATCATTTTGATACCCTTCAATTGTGATGAAAGAATGTTATTTAATTTTAAGAAGTACATTAAAATTTCACACGCTCAATAAAATAATATGTTCATAATTCAAGTTATAACTTCATTTAACTTAATCCCCTCTTAAAATTTGAGGTTTTACGTTTCAGGATACGTAACTTCGAAAAACGAATACAAATTTTTTTGTCAGTCCGCCGTCCGCGCATTCTCCGAAACCACAGGACCGATTTTTTTCAAATCTAGATATAAAATCAAAAGTCTTCCGAGGTTGATCCTCCTTCACCGACATTATCATCCGACTTTTACTTTCAAAATGGCGGCCGAAAAACCTACGTTGCTATAGACTATAGCGCCTAAACAAATTTACCGATTTCAATTAAACTTCTTTAAAGTCATTTTCTCGACGCCCTTTAACTTTGTCTATATAACATACTTCAACGAAAAGAAGCTGTGAAAAAAGTTACGAGGGATGGTAAAATTAAATTCTGAATAACTCAAAAAGTATACACTTTTTTGTCAATGTTGTGATAAGATGATAAATATTACATTACTTGTAGTATTTTGCTCTTCCGCAATTTTTTTTTCATATAACTTCCTTTTTAATAATGTTTTTGTAATATTTACTAGACGTATCTTATCAAATAAAAATGGACAATTCCTCACTTTTTATATAAATAATTCGGTGTTTTACATATCTATATAAATATTACCACTAAACAATTTCAACTGTAATTTTTATCTAGAATATTTTTCAAACATAACGTCGACCCCGGCGCTACAGAAAGTATCGCTGAGGTGTAACGAGCTCTATGTGATTGCTATACTGGAAAAGATAGTAATACAACTGTAGCGCTGTACCGCCGCGCTAAATAATGCCTTCTGTGTGAACATGCCGTTATAATCCTGGAATAATCCTATTAACTTGGGTATTAGCTTACTTTTCTCCCTACTTTAGGTAGAGAATAACGTCGAAGGAGGGTGATATTTTTGTAATTTGTATCAATTTACCGCTAGCCTCGGCGCTACAGCATGTATTGCTGAGGCGTAACGCTCTCTGTGTGACTGTTATAGTAGAATAGGTAGTAATACAACTGTGCCGCTATATCGCCACGCTAAATATCGCGTTCTGTGTGTATGAGCCTTAAGGGTTGACATGCATACAAGTGAGGAATCCAGTAACGTAAATAGTTTCTTATACAGAGGGGTATTATGAAGAAAATTCAAAATCCTGTTGTTTTTTTTTAAAGTCCTTCAAGGACAATTCAAACATTATTTTATATGTTTTCTTAATTTTTCTTCTAGAGGAGTTACAGTTTAAAAAATTTGTAAATAAATAATTCTTCAATTTACTGTTACTAAATTAGTTCTATGGTAGAAATATGCGTGTTTTTTTTTTAAATGCTTCGACGAGGTATGTGTGGGAGGTTGAGACAAGAGGTCTTAACATTGGACTGTTTAATGAACATTTTTAGTATTTAATGAAGATCAAATTGATTGCGAACCATGCCTAATGGATGCAGAACTCTCGTGAACTGGGAACAAATTTAATAGTTGACAACAGAAGATATAAGGTCAACTTTTTTAAAATATTGAGTTAAAAGCACGAAATAAAACTTTGTCTGGAAGTTCCACATATCATTTTGATATTTTATTTATATATCTTTAACATATCAGACAATTATAGACCATAGACAATTCAAGCCAAGAAAGAGGTTTTATTGAAAGTTAAAAAAAAAAAAAAAAAAAAACTAGGTGTAGGGTGGCAGAGTAATAAAACAGGGGAGCATCACTCGCCAGGCAACCTGACAATAAAAGTTAAAAGATGAAATAAGTACGACTTGGCATCCCAGTGCTGGGCGGACTTTTAACTATGGCATTAATGCCCTGATCGGAGGAAAACCTAATAAGCTAGTATTGAATATTTAATAGTTGACCGTTGCATTATAAAAGAAGGAGATGGTCCGGGGTTGCGATCATAAATAGGCTAAATAGTAGTAAAACTATTTAGCCTATTTATGACCGCAACCCCGGACCATCTCCTTCCTTTAATAAGCTAGTAGTTCCATGTTTTAGATTCAGGGGCATAGCTTTATACACACACTACAGTAAAATTCCAACAATGGCCAGTCGGAAATGCCAGTTCCTTCTGTGTGTGGCCAATATGAGTTGTTCAAAGGTTATAGCAGCTATCATCTTGGAGGAGTTGTGCGTTTTTAAGAGATAATCAAAGAGATCCAAGTGGACCAAAGCAGTAGTTATGCAATTGACAAACGTGGTCTCACATTGATCTTTCAAATTTTCTCAGAAGGAAAAAAATAGTAATAGGAAGGACTATTGAATTTACCGTGTTCAAATTAAATGTTTTCAAACTCAATTGAAGACAAAGTTTATATTTCAAATTTGGTTCCCATGTATTCAGGGGGTTAAAGGTATTTCAGAGAATTATTGTGCAATATGGAATACAAGTATTAATTTTAATTACTATTTTTTGTGTAGGAGCTGCTCCTGCTCCGAATTATAGTCAACCTCCACCTGCAGCTCCACCAACTAATTATGGTTCGCAACCACCTCCTTCTTATGATAATAACATGAGTGGAGGCGGTGGTGGTTACGGGCAAGGAGGAGGAGGCGGTTATGGAGGTGGTTATGGTGGTGGCGGAGGAGGAGGCTACCAAGCCTCTCAAGGAGGTTATCAAGGTCAACCACCGCCTCGTCCTCAAGGCAAGTTCTACTATTACTTATTGCAATAAAATAGTTTTGTAATGATAATTAAGGATCAGCGAAACACTCAAAATTAATCTTAATTTTTCTCATTTAGAAACAAGAAAATGACCAAACACCTTTATAAAATTTTCTTTAAGTTAATGTTAACTCAAATTATTACTCTGATTTTACTGTAGTAATTCATGTTATAACTATTTTTAATTAATATGATTTAAATGAAATTATGTTCTCTGAGGTTTCAAAGTTTTTTTATTTTTGTTTGATAAAAAACTAATGTAGCAAATTTAGATAGCTTAATTTATTCTTTTAACTAGAAGATTTAAAGCTAGCAACCTTTTAATTACAAAGTACTTACTGCCCTTAACCATGAAATGAGTCTGTTATTTATAACTAAAGGTGCTAGCTTTACACCTAGGTATATATATACATTACAAGTTCTCTATCTCTAATTGTTGCTATTAATTGTTTTTCTACCTTATTTATTGTTCTGATTAAATTATTGATTTATTACCTTTAACGTGTACATTTTTTTGTTATAATTAACTCTTTATACCCTATAGTATATTCATGTTTACAATTTACAGTGTTTTAAACTTACAGTGCTATAGGAAAATTAAAAAGATTTAAGAGCAAGTTAGCCCAGAATTGGCAATCAATTGTGGGTGATCAGCTCTTAGACATTTGTCAAGTAGAAATATGACATGTTCATATAAAAATCAAGTTTTTCTACCTTATTTATTGTTCTGTTTAAGTTATTGATTTATTACCCTTAACGTGTACATTTTTTTGTTATAATTAACTCTTTATACCCTATAGTATATTCATGTTTACAATTTACAGTGTTTTAAACTTACAGTGCTATAGGAAAATTAAAAAGATTTAAGAGCAAGTTAGCCCAGAATTGGCAATCAATTGTGGGTGATCAGCTCTTAGACATTTGTCAAGTAGAAATATGACATGTTGATATACAAATCAAGCTTTTTTAAAAATCCCATTTCTTTTTCTAATTTTAAGAGTTTTGGTTATAATTCTAAGTTATATTCACGATCAGTTAAATATTTAATTCATAACTGAAACTTCAGTGTGCATATTTTTACTCTGTTGTTTTTTCTCAGGCGGAGGTAACTATGGCGGAGGTGGACGAGATGGCGGTTATGGTGGTGGTGGTGGCAGAGATGGATATGGGTAGGTTAATTTCTTTAAGTTACTCTTTGATTTTTCCTAAAACGTATTCCTGTTTGATTTAGTTATTAGAACAATGTTTAGGAATCCATTTTCACAAAGTGGTTAATTATTTGGTTTTAATTTAAGTTTATTTACATATTTTAAGATTAGTTTGTCCCTTAACATGTTTCGTTATTTTTTTTAGGGTGATTTTAAAAACTCAATGTTTGATGTATTATTTGTTATGACTTTTTATTCTATTCTCGTTGTATTTTAAAATGAGTTGCTATTGTTGAAGTTGTACCACTAAATTTTATTACCATTGCAGTGACATGATTTTCTTTTCATGTGTATTGTAATCACTGAATCCATAATTATTTTGTTTGGTGTTTCTTAAGTGAAATACTTATGATATAAATTAAAAGTCATTAAGTTTTGTTGAGTATCATTTAATATTAAATTTTCGTTACATGAAATCTAAAAATTTGAAGTAATTTTCTGTAACCGTTGAAGTACTTTATTAAACCAGATTAAATTTTCCTATGAGTTGAATATAATTCAGCCTCATGATCTCCAATTATTTGCATTTATCCAGTGCTCTCACTTGGTATGTTGTTAATCCAGTCATTAAATATTTGTTTATCCCTTCCATTTGTTTGATCATCATTAAAATTTCCCTTATTTTGTTGTTTGGGCTCTTCAAAGATTTGGTTTAGAAACATTTGGTGAGTAAGCATAATGCTCTCTGAATTATAATTAATTATCTCAGCAAATATTGTATCATTATTAACTATCTTAGGAAAAAGCAAACAAAATGCTACAATACTACTTCAACACCCTAGTTGTGTTACCAATAAAATCTTGAGTTCTTGTTTTATTGGAGCACATGTACATCGCCTCCTCTCCAACTCTCCCTTCATTTTTGGAATACCGTCCTAATATAAGAAATCTCCTGGGCACTAGTTCACAAGAGTTCCGCACGGATTACGCTTGGTTCACAATCACTTAGATCACACTTGTTCATGGAATCCCGAAAACAACCGAATGTTGTCATATTTTATGACGTCAGCTATTACCCCGTCATGCAATCCTTTTTCATGCATTTTTGAAAGGAAAAAAAAATGTATTCCCTTCATGGAACTTCCTTATTAACAATTTATTAACAAATTGTGTTTTTACTAATTAGTTAATTATTAATTTGTATTGTAACGGTCATTACTGTGAAATAAAAAGAAAAAATATATAAAATAATGTTTGAGTCGTTTCTTCATGGCCTGTTTAAAAAAAAAAGCTTTTAGAAATAACTTGTTATTGACTGTGCTTACATGTAGTGGCTCTAAATACGCATATACTGTTGTATATTATCTTTCATAAATTGTATAAAAGAGTTTTTATCATTTGGATAATAAATAAAGTGAATGGCGATTATTGTAGTCATTCGTAAAATAAAAAAAATAAAAAAACGTGTTTATTGTTAAGAAAGGAATTAACGTATTGGGGAAACAACAGACGAAGAATATCTGATAACTTCGAGATAATGAATAATGGAAATCATAAATAAGAAAAATAATATCGTGAAATAGCATTCAGAGAAGTAATAATTAAATGTTTTTATCTATTACTATTTCTTTTTCACAGATGTATAGTACATGTACATGTTCGGTTCAGGTTTCATAATCTGTAGCCTAAATTTCGAATGTAAGTCAATACCTTAAATAACGTTGACATACTGGACATGGTTAAGGTTATAGAAGTATTTAAACAGCGGGAAAGTTAATAATAACTGATTCAAGAGATCGGTCGCCTTCGTTCTCTTTCGGATAAACCCGAACGCATTCGGGATTCCATGAACAAGTGTGACTGAAGTGATTGTGAACCGTGCGGAACTCTTGTGAACTAGTACCATCTCCTGTACCCACTTGTAATTATTTTCAAGTGATATTTATATTATTAACAATTACGATTTTTTATAATCTTATTATTTCAGGTTTCATAATTATATTATCTTCAATTTAAATCTAGTTGTTACGGAACAAGATTTTATTACCACCCCTTGTTAGTAAAATTATAGTGTGAGTACTGGATTGTTAGGAATCATAGTTTTGTTAGTAATTTATCAGATTTATAAATATGAAACCAGAATTTACGAATAGAAAATACTCGTTAATTGCATAAAAATATTTTTTAAAAGTATTTTATTCAAAATATTGTTCGTCACAAGCTGTTACTCTACTGTGGCGAATTAGTCACCAAGACATGTTCGTACATTTTCATAATTAGCAAAGCACTGCTAAGCTATAATTTGTCAACAATTGATGGAAATAAATAGTTGTTTGATTGGGCCAAGTCTGGTGAAAAGGCTTTATTTCCCAATTATTTCCTTCACTGGTTTTGCTGTGTGTAATAGTGCATTTATGTAAAGCAAAAACACTGTTGTCTTTTTACTTTCACTTACCCATATGCAATATATAGTAAGGAAAAGAATTGCGAACTTGAAATTTTTGAATTTAGTTTTCAATGGAAATTCACGTTTTGAGATTCCTTGAGTCCAAATAACCAAGTTCCGAAAAAATGGTCTGTGTTTATGTTAGCAGCCTAGCTCAAAAACAAACAGTCCTATGAAACTTAAATTGTGTATTTAAGGCCACTTTATATCAACTGTAAAACATTTTTACAATTTTCTCATAAACGGCTCTAACGGTTTTGATTAAACTACTCCATGCATCATTGTGTAATTATGTGATCGTTAATACCATTCAGCTCTTATCCCCATTGATGTTACTTTACAGAGCTTAAATGCCCAACGTTCATTTACGTCTTCCTATGAAATATCTTTAATATGGATTATTTAGAAAAATTAACTCTTTTTATTGACAGAAACCATAAAAAATGGCTAAATATGAAGTTTGAAAGAATATGATAATTGGAAACTGGACCAAAAAAGAAAAATGAATCTCCGGAAATAACAGTCAGAATGTACATATAATATATTATTGGAAAGCGGAGAATTTTAGAAAAAATAATATTCAAAAAATTAAGTTGAAGTTGTTTCTAAGTAAAGCAAAAAAAGTATTTAAAATCCACCGAATCAGCCAGTGCCATTGTTTAAAATTTTATTTCATTGTGCTTGTGTGAAAGAAGTGAAGTATAAAAATGTTTCATGGATATGTTTATAACCTTAGATATATTTACTGAAGTTTAATAACTCTAGAGATATATTTAAATATTTAGGTATCTATCGTCTGTTTATTCCGAAAAATCATCATGTAACCTTTTAGAAAATTAAATTAGTGAGTAGTTTGATGAAATTTCCTTTTGTGGTATTCCAACAGTACCCACTTACAATTAGTGTGACAACTTTTGACCTGTCTATGACAGACAATGCAAATCTCTTAATTCCGTTTTAATAAACTATGCAGTAGAAAATAACAGTTTAATAACTAATAGTGGTATAATCCATAAGCAACAAATTGTACAATCGATAATCAACCACTGATATAATAAATAGGACTTTAATAATAATAATAATAATAATAACTTTAGTTATTTTAATGGTATTTATGATTTGTTAGCTGTAATTTTTTAGCTTTAGCTTACTTCAAAACGCAATTCAAAAATTTTATAATAGCCCAACATGGCCAGAAAATAATTTCTATTCAAAGTTGACCGATAAGCGAAAGCTGTGTGTGGCTCACACCAGATTTTTTTAATACAGTCTAAAATTATATAACCTCATAAAACAATACTATGAACATAACCTCTCTTTTGCATGATCAATAATGCCTTCCACATTTCACAGTTCTTATATTTTTAAAAGTCATTTAAATTAATTTTAATTGTTGAATAGAATTCAATGAAATTGATACTAGGGAATTTCTACACTATTCTCCACATTTACTTCAACTTTCGGTATAATCGAACGAGTCGTTTTAAAAATTTATGAGTGTTAAAAACAATACGTTTCCAGATTCGATTGCGGAATTGTTTTCTGAAAGTAGGGGATGGAATTTTTTGAAATGGATATCTATTTGATCATTTGTTTATCAATCCCTAATTTCCCTTCAGCTTTGAGCCCAATCGAACGTGCAGCTGTTAAGATATAGACGTATTATGTAAAATACATTTGGGCATATTTAAGAGAAATCAGCTGACGGAATGCAATGACATTGATACAGCATTATTTTTTATTTCTTTTAATCAGGTACCTATTGGCCATTTTTTTTAAAAAATCTACTTGATGTCCTACAATCAATAATCATTTATAGGTTAAATATTCAGATGTACTTTCAAATGTCTCTAGCCTTTCACTTGTCTGAATGACTAACTCCAATTTCAACATTCCTTATTGTTTTAGTGATGTTTCTAGTGGCAAAATTTATGCATTTATTCACATTGTTATAAAGGTGTAATCTGAAGTTGTGTGGTTTATAAAAGCAGATGTAGTAACTAGATTTTTATTGTCTACCGTCGATATAATAAATAGACATATTTAATTTTAATGATTTGTTATCTGTAAGCTTTAAACTTTAGCTCTGTTTAAAATACACTACAAAATTTTTATAATAGTCCAACATTGCCAGAAAATAATTTCTATTAAGTAGAGCGGTAAGTGAAAGTTGTGTGTTGCGCGCACCAGATTCTTTATGTTCTGGTTGTTTTTCATGCAATACTTGATTTTAAATCGAACATTAGTTGTCAACAGTGTGTAGTGTTTTAATAGTATCATCATTTTTTAGCTGCTCATTGTACACCACACCCTTTTCATCTCACCAAACACAGAGCATTGTCTATTTTCCATGGTGAGTTGGACTTCCAATTGATAGTAATGGTTCACCTGGAATTACCCATCTTATTTGAATTTTCAAAATCCACTTTTCATCATCTGTTACAATCTGATGGAGAAATGACTTTCTTTTGTACCTAATAAGTATCATTTCCAAAGTGGTTTTTCAGTTTTCTCATTGTCTTCCATTCAGTTTATGTGGAACCCATTTCCCCACCTGGGTCTCTTCTTTGGCTTT